TGCTCTAAGGATGGAGACAAACCCCAAGAGTCTGGGCTCCAAGTAGCTCTAATGCTTTATGTTACATGCTCTCTCTGTTTATACTTCTCACGGTGGGGCGATTCCTTTCCACAGCCTTCTCTGGTGTTTCTTGGTGGAAAAAAAAAGTAATGAACACGGGCCTCCCCCAGCCCACCCACCTAAACAACTGGGTGCTGCCTGATCACTAGCATTCCCATATGAAATCTCAGATGGAGAGTTGCGTGCTGGGAGACACGGCACTGCCCCATGCAGCTGTGTAAACACAGGAGGGCTTCTGAAGAGGCTCTGCCTGCTGCCTGCTGCCTGCCCTCCCCGGGCGGGCCCCTCGGCCAGGCCGGAGTCCACACCGACAAGGGGGCGCTGAGACTAAGGGCTGGGCAGCTTGAACCATGGCAAGGTGCTTGTTGCAAACTAACCAGACCCCACTTGCTCCCAGAAGGGGCAGAGCCCAAAAGGTAAACAAGCACAGGAGGCAGGAGGAAGTACTAGGTCACAGAAAGCAAGCAAGCAGGCCAGAGGACCCTCCATCAGATGGGTGTTCTTTGCTCTTGGAAACCAGCACTCCCTCATTCGGTACTGCTTATAAGATAGCAAGAAAAGCCTGGCTAAATGACACTCAAGAGCTTATGAAGATGGATGGAAGCCAAGAATGCCCGGGCTCTGTGAATGCGTGGGGCAGGCGGCACGTGGCCTGTCTCTGTCTCTCTGCAAAAAGTCCTCATACCAAGGCTGATCAGACAGAAACTACGGGAAGGCACGTCCTTCTGAGCCCAATTACTGACACTGTCTCCCCCAAGTCAGATTCCACAAAGCACAGCCCCCAAGGCAAAGTCCTTCCGGTTTTCCTCCCTCTTGAACTTCACACTCACCCACGTGCGGCTCTGGAAGAAGTTGCATTTAAACTGCAACCACACCTCTCAATGTTAGTTGGAAGTCAAAAAGGTAAACCTTTTCTTCTGGACTTTCGGCTACCAAAGGGAACTTCCGGTGCCAAGTCCTGGTTCCCTTGGACCCCAAGGACTACTCTATGTTTCAACAATCTCTAAAAGGGTGCCCCAAAGTTATTGTACAGATTCTAACAGAGCTTTGCTGGTAAGGGTGGTTATTTTTACCTTGGTTAAATGAAAGTATCTCCTAACTGGCCATCCAGAAACTGGATAAGTGTTTCACTGACGACAACAATCAGCTAGTATTTAAGAAGAAAACAAAACCTTAGCAGTCTCTAGAATACACAGGTGATAAACAAACTGAGCTGCTAATATACAGGCATAGAGTTCACTGGCTCTAACTCCAATCACATACCTGAAGCCGTGGGCTGTATCTTGGCAGCTCTAAAGGAACTGCTCTGGAGTTCAGACTAGTTAGAGAATTCAAAGTATTTCTTTGTGGTTGTTTACTCTTAAGCCATGTAATGTACATGGAAGTGTAGGATTTCACCCTGAAGTTTTTGTAATTTAACAAGAGATTTACCAGAGCTCCGTCAACTATTTAAGAAAAACTTCAGCATTGAGTGGCCATCATAAAGACACAAACGTGTTCAGTCCTTTAGGGCAAACCTATCCCATCACAACCACCGAATGCCCTTCTGCGGCTGGAAAATCCCCTCTGCAAAGAAGCTATTAAACATCAAGCCCTTTCTGTTTTCCTAACTACAACTCTACTTGTTAAAAAAATTTAAAGTCCTCCTCACAAATAAGTTGCATGGAAGCTCTCTGCAGCTACTGAGGGCTAGCCCTATCCTGACTCCTGGAGTCCACAGTTCTGGAAGGTGCCACAGTTTGGGTTTTGAGGTTTGGGGTTTTGCACGAAGTCACACCCTCTCCTCCTCTCTCTTTCAAATGCAGCAAGTGTGGTCTCAGACCACACCACCAGAGTTTTCTGCTACCTCTTCCCGATTTTCAAACCCCACACACATTCAGTTGGTATACCCGACATGATTCTGAGTTCACAAGGAAGGATTTTTGGCATAAAAACGTTTTAAAAAGCAGTAGTTCCCAAATGCACGTGGCTTTGGGTCTGCAACTCCTCACACCCGCCCATTCAGCCAGCCAGCGGCCAAGGTTGATGTCATGGAGTCGAGTCTTTTTTTTTTTTTGTCCCCTTTAAAACGACAAAGAAATCAAACAAATGAAAAGAAAAAACAACCAGAGATGACGGTCAAGGCTCTACACACGTGCTCGGTTTCCGTAAGACATGCTGCTATGGAAACGCAGGGCTCGCGGCGCGCAGCCTGCAGAGGTGAGACGCCATGCATGCGAGGTCGCGGTCCGGTGCGGGCAGCTACTCCATTGCCTCGTCTGGCTGCAGAAGATGCGTGCAGGAGCGGGAGCTGGGGCCCGGGGCCCTCCAACTCTCCACCCGAGGGCCGCCTTTCACAAGAGCACTTCCTCCTCCCCCACGGGGGCCGGGTCGGGGCCCTGGAGGCTGTCCTGGCTGCCTTGCTTCCTGCTCACCAAACAGAAAACCGAAGTTAAGACCCAGGGTAATGCTGGCCCAGCTCTGAACCGGCGTCTGCAACGTCATATCCTTAACTTCTTTTGGATTCTCTCCCCCCTTTTTCTTGCTTATGTAAAAGTTTCAAAGGAGACTCTGTACCCCTCTGTGAAAGGAAAACCAGCATCAGGTGCCAAACATAGCAAAGAGCTATAAAAATAGATACGAACCTATGGTCCTAACAGCTAAAATCAGGGCACATATGGTAAGCTGTGTGGCCCCACATTGGGGCCTGTTCAGCGAGGGTTTTAGGTACCTCCCCTCCCCACCCCTCCCCTTAGGCTATAAGCTCTTGCACAGCTTGAACTGTAACATTCGTCTTCAGTCCCCAGGTGAACTTCTTAGGGGCAGCGAGCAGGACACCCTGACTTGCCCTGGCACATAGCCAGCCTTTAGAAATGGTTGTCAACAGAACTGCCCCAGCATACACACCCCCCGGGATCCCTCAGATGGAGAGAAGGGTCCTCATCTCGGCTCTGTGTGATCAGAGCAGAAGAGACCAAGCTGGTGGGAAGAAGGGTCCTCCTGCCCCCGAGAAGCCCCCCAGCCAGAGCTGCCCAGGTGGCAGGCATGGGGGAGTGATGGGAGATGCGAGGGGAAGTCCCTGAGGGGAGGCTCAAGCCCTTTGCCATCATCAAGCAAAGACTGCCCCTTATGAGGAAAGCCATCGGGCTTGCCATGCAGGATTAGTATCTACCGTATGCCCCTGGCCAGACGGGGAACTGCCCTTGCACGAGGGAAAGGCCAGTGTGATGTCTGCACATTCCTAGGGAGAAACCCCTCTTTGTTTAAAAATCACACTCATTGGCTTTCATGTTTTTGCCAAAGAATAAGGGGTCAAGTCTCCAAGGAGGAGAGCTGTAACCAGATGTCCAATAAGGCCCTCCCTTTCTGCCCTACGGCTGCCTGCTCATGCTGGCTGGTCTCACTGCAGATGGCTGGGGGGCCATGGGCCTAGGGCCTCTGACGACTGACTAAGCTCTAAGAGCTCCAGAGTGCTGGACCACTGGGACAGCCAAAGCATCCACCTGCGAGCTGAGGACAAGGGCAGGTAATAATCCCCACATGCTGCTGGGGCTACAGGTGAGGGAATAAATAGGCAGTAAAGTCTTTCCGGCCAATCTCAGTCTTTGGTGTCATGCAACTGTGATCGCATTAAAAATGAAAAATGAACCAAAATGGGAGGCAAACGCTAAAACGGAGATCAAGGAGAGAAGGATCAAGTTAAGGCGATCCCATTAGGCTTCACCTGTCACCCAGTGAGGCTCAAACGGCAGGCGGGGCCACCCCGTCATCTGGCTGCAGAGACATCTGGGAATATCTTGGCAGGATGGGAGGCAGCCTTCTCCGGCTGTGGATGATTGGCTCTGATGCCTAACTGCTACTTTCCCTGCTCCAGAGAAGCATAAATAATCCCCAAATGGTCTTCCTACATTACCGTAGAAGCCCCTGACTCCCATGGTATGTGCAGCCAACGCGTTTCATCTCATGGGCCAACTACTAACAAAGAGAAACAGCTGCGACTTGAACAAGAATGTACAGCTTCTTCATGTGTGAGAGCCCCAAAGTGGAAGCAACGCCTGCCATTGGATGAAAGAGGAATCAAATGTGGGTCCGTCCATACAATGGAGCATGACTCAGCCATAAGAAGGAATGAGGGTCTGACCCGTGCTACACCATAGATGAACCTCGAAAATACTATACTGAGTGAAGGAAGCCAGACACACAGGCCACATACTGTATGATTCCATTTACAGGAAATGTCTAGAATAGGCAAATGGACAGAGACGGAGGGCAGATCGGTGCTGGCTGGGGAATGGGGGAGTTGGGTGGTGACAGCTAAGGGTGCAGTGTTCCTTCTTGGACTAATGAAAATGTTCTAAAACTGGTTATGGTGAGGGTTACACAGCTCTGAATATATTAAAAACTATTGAATGATACACTCTAAATGGGTGAATTATATCTCAGTAAAGCCAGTTTTAAAACAGAAATGGTTGCGTGGAGCTCCCAGCTGAGAATGTGGTGGCGAGCTGGGCGCGGTGGGGAGGGTACTAGGATTGTTGTCCTGCCACAGGCACAGGCGGGGGGCGGGGAGGGACAGATTGGCAGGTATTTGTCATCCCAGTGTTTACAGGGACAAAATTCTCATCTGTCCTGGGAGGTGCTGCCGAGCTGGGTATGTGTTTGGAAGAGGATGGCTGACTCTGGGGAAAAGGTCCAGATCCTCTCCAAAGGCAGGGGACTCACATTCATGTGCAATATGCTGCAAGGGGGACTTATTTTCCAGGTCTTAACCCATCAGACAAAAAAGGGTGGACGCTGGAGAGCCTCGAGTGCAGCATGCCAGATCTATGCTCTGACCACTGACCCAGAGCAGGGCCAGCCCCGGGCTGCAACACAGCTTCAATGCCATTGACGTGCACTGAGCATATGTGGACCCAAGACCTGGGTGAGTTCACAGGCATTCCGGGTGGAGCGCCATGCACCCGCAGCCCCAGCCCACATGCACGACCCGCCGTCCAGTCCAAACCCCTGGATGCCCCCTTGTTTTCATTCTGGGTCCAGAGGCCCAAGGTGAGCCTGGGTGCAGCAGCCCAGGCCAGAAGGAATGTCCGCCTGGGTGGCGATGCCCCGTGCTCTGCAGCTGCCCCCGCCCCCAGGCCCCGGCAGAGGCTAAGGCGCAGGCAGGCAGACAGGCAGGCAGGCGTTACCTTGGGCTCAGACAGGGGCTCACACTCCCTGGTGGGTTTTTTGCTGGAATCGCCAGAAGGGAGGGAAAAGGGAAGTGAGAATGGACACTTGGGAAGGAATGTTCCCACCCCAGAGACACTCAGGCCCAGACCACCAGCTTCACAGAGCTGTTGCCAGGGTGATTCGGAGCGAGACACCTCTCTGCTGTGAGACATTGGGTCCCGTGAGACTGGCCTTGCTCACCCGTCAAAGGACCATCAAGCGTGCATGCTTTTGGGCCACAAAAGCACTTTCTGATTGTCAAACACTCCTCTCCCCAGTTCCAATGCAAGTTCCCCTGAGAAAAGTAAAACCTCCCTGTGGATTAGCTGTCAGCAAATGGGGCGGGCTGAGCCCAGGGTGGGGCAAAACCAAAGCCAGCAGCTGCTTGATGTCCCCAGTGTGCCCGGTGGGCTGGTCTGAGTCTTCCGGATGTCACCGCCGCGGGGATGGGCCCACACAGTGTGGCCCCCAGGCCCCTACCCCAGAGCAAGGCAGGTGGACACTTACGTGAGCAGGTTTCCAGGCGCTGACAATGAGCGCTCCTCCCGCCGGCTGCCCTCAAACGGGTTCCCGAAGGAGCGTTTTCGTATCATGGTCTTCACCAGGATCTGAAGGAGAGAAGAGGAGGCTGGGCCGCCTGGGGGAGAGTCCAGGCAACACCCTCCCCCCGCCATGCCACAAGCCCTCTTCCTTTCTTGCCCCGCCCCCTGCCGGCTCCCAGGGCTTGTGGCTGGCAGCAGGCCTTCGAGAGACACCGGGCAGCATTCCTCCCACCCGGGATACAGAAGCCCAAGCCATCACCAAGTCTGATTGGCCTGCTCCCAAAATCTTCCACAGCTCCCTGGCTGCCAGCAAAATTAGGCCTAAGCTCCTCCATCTCTCATTCAAAGCCTGTCATAATCTAGTCTTGGCCTACCTGACCAGCAGGGGGCCCTGTGCTCGAGGAGAGCTGGCCTGCACTGTGCCCCCAGGACGGGTGGTACCATCTGTCTCACTGAGCCATCGCTGGATGTGCCTTCCTGGCCCATCAACACGTTGCATCAAGGCCAGGCCTTTATTTTCAGTGAAAGCCATCTACAACTGCCCCATCAAGAAACCAACTACTGCTTCCCAGGTCTAATCTGAGGGGAGGGGGACCGCTGTCCTTTTAACTGAAATGTAATTCACACAGCATACAATTCATCATTTTCAAGTGTGCAATTCATGGCTTTTAGTACATTCACATCACCACGATCTAACTTCAGAACATTTACATCACTCCGAAAAGGAACCCGGGACCCACCAGCAGTCACTCGCCATTCCACCCTCCCCCCAACCCCCAGCAAACACCAGTCTGCTTTCTGTCTCTGCGGGTTTGTCTGTTCTCATTTCATCTAAGTGGAATCACAGTATGTGGCCTTCGGGGCCTAGCTTCTTTCATTCAGGATCACGTTTCCAGGGTCCATCCACGCTGTAGCATGAATCATGGCCTGGTAAAAACCCTCCACGTGGATATGCTACGTTTTGTTTATCCATTCATCCTTTGGTGGGCATCTGCATTGTTTCCACTTTGGGGCTACCGTGAATAAGGCTGCTATGAACATCTGTGTACAAGCTTTTATGTGGACATACTTTCCACATGAAATGCCTTCACTCCTCTTGAGTGTACACCCAGGAGTGGAATTCCTGGGTCACATGGTAACTGTACAATTCACATTCTGGGGAGCCGCCAGTTTTCTACCGTGGCTGTATCAGGTTACAGTCCCACTAGCAACACACAAGGGTACCAGTTTCTCAGGGGGCTGCATTTTAGTTGAGGATGGGAGACATCTGCCTCAAAGTAAGAAGCGGGGAAGCATTCCAGGACACTGAGGGTGTCCAGTCCCCAGGCTGGGAGGCGTGAGGGCAATAGAGGGCAAAGGTCCCAAGTCCTTCTAAGTCAGAGGTGCTGGGAGCTGGTAGGTCCACTGTCATGATGGTGAGCCCTGGTGTGCCCCTACCCGGCCATGCTAGGCAGCTTGGTTAGGAAACACCTGCCTGAGGAGATCTTTGGAGAAAAGGAACACCCCTCGATCAGGCCCCTCAGCTCCCCTCCTCTGCCTCCCAGCCTTCAGCTCACCCCATCCTTTCTGAAACCCAGAGCCGATTCCCTCACTCCCTGATGTGGAATCCCTCACCCACAGGGGTCTGGAACTTATTCTGCTAGCAGCCAGGGGGCCATGGAAAGTCCTGGCCTTTGGTGATGCTTTTAGCTGCTATATTTGGTGAAAGAATTTTCAAGGAAATGGCCTCAACCCCCTGTAAGGCTCTGGCCCCACTACATGCAGAGCAAGATGTCTCTTCTAGCTGTTTCATGTACTGACTTAGCTTCTGGGTTTTTTAAAAAGGGCTTGCTGCTAAAAAGGAAGAAAAGTGTTTTTAAAAACACAGTGATTTACCAAAAGGTGGAAACACCCAAATGTCTTAACTACTGATGAATGGGTAAACCAAATGCGCTCCATTCATGCAATGGAATACTATCCAGGCATAAAAAGGAATGACAGGCTACAATGTGGATGAACCTCGAAAGCATGATGCTGAGTGAAAGAAACCAAACACAAAAGGCCACACACTGCATGATCCCATTCATATGCAATGCCTAGAACAGGCAAATCTACAGAGACAGAAAACAGACTAGTGGTTGCCAGGGGCTGGGGGGAGGGGAGAAGGGAGTGACTGCTAATGAGGTTTCTTTTGGGACGATGAAAATGTTCCAGAACTATAGAGGGATGGTTGCATAATATTGTAAATGTACTAAATGCGACTGTATTGTTCACTTTAAAATGGTTAATTTCATGTTACATGAACTCTACCTGAATTTAAAATACAAGGGAAAAAAAAAACAAACACCAAGGCAGGGAACAAAGGCTGTGCCCCTTCACAAAGCACTCACGGTCCCTCACCTGCCTAGGCCTGTGCTCTGTAGTTCCTGGAACATGTGGGCCCCTTTCCTCTGAGCCTTTGCGGCCGTACCCTCCTTCCCCGGCCGTTTAGACTGGCCTTCCTGGCCCTCAGTCCCAGTGGAGGGACTATGAAGCTTCCCACTCCTGCTCCCCTCCATGTGATGGCGCAAGAGGTTGATTCTTCCCAGATCCATCTTTCTTATGAGGCCAGGACCCCACTTGGGCAGGCGCTGTATCTCATTCATCTCTGTAACCTCGGGCCCAGCGCACACCGGGTGCCAGGAGAGGGCCAGACCTCCCCACTCCAGCCCCTCCTTTGCAGACAGCTGCAGGGGCCCCCATGGTCCACTCTCCACGTGGGGTCTTCCCAAGGCCAACGCTGAGCACACCACTTTCCTGAATCAAACCCTGCAAGTGCTTCCCAGGCCTCTTGGGATGAAGACTGAAATCTTTGCCATGGCCTCAGGACTTGTGTGGTCTGGCCCACCTCCTGTCCAGCCTTGTGTCACCCTCCTGCCACCTTCTTTGCCCGGCTTCAGCAGCCCTGCCTTCCTTGAGGCTTCTCGTGGGCCTAGCTCCCTCCCACCAGGCAATCACTGCCTTTGCTGTTCCCTCTGCCAGGAACAGACATACCCTTTACCCTCTCTTGGCCTGATTAACACCCCACTGTCCTCTCAGTGCACATCCCCCAGGAGGTCTTCTCCAACCCACCACCTCAGCTGCATCCCCCCCGAGAGGTACACCTCACAGCCCCTCTGTGAGTTGCACATTTATTTATTGGTCCTTTACCGAGCGTCTGTAGGCACCATGTCACTTTTATTCACTAATGTATTCCCCCACTCCCAGCACAGGCCTGGGAAACCACTCAGCGTGCAAGAAGTGTTTCCTGAATAAAATGCCTATTTCAGACCTCCAGGGTCAGACGCCTTTTCTGAAGAACATCCCCAGCCTGCAGCGGGATACCCCATGGCGGACACTGGGAGTCCGACACCAGCTGCCTTTCCCACTATGGGTTCCGGACACGGGGGCAGTGGGTGGATGAGGAGGAGGGGTCAGGTTGGTGAGTGTTCAACAATGAAGGTCATGCAGAGGCCCCGGTTGGGGAGGAGAAGGAAGATGTGAAGGAATGCCCCACCCCCAGGGGCCCAGGTTTGGGGAGGAGAGAGAAAGTGTGTGGGGAAGCAGAGGGACAGGTGCAAAGCTGGGAGACAAGAAGCCAGCACTGGGCTCCTAGGGGCAGTCACTCGAGGCTGGACACTGCGTCTCTGCAGACAGCCCCACCAGTCCGTCCCCTCCAGGAGCCCAGGGCCCTGCCTGGCTGCTGGGGCCGGTGCTGGTCAAACACACCCAGAGCTTCCGAGGTGGCCATGATGGGGAAACCCACTGGATTCTGCCCTTAGGACTGCTGCCTGGACTCTGGGCCCCTGAGTCTCCCTCCAGAAGCCAGACACCTTCCTGGGCAGAAGCTTGGCAAATAGGTGATTCCCAGAGTCTCTGAGATCAGGCTGGAGGACTCCAATGCTGCCTCCTCCTTCCTGGGTCAGAACCCAAATGTAAGGCCATAAAAGGGGGCAGGAGATTCCTGAGCAAACTCCCACCCTCAGGAGTCGGGAAGAGCTTTCTGAGGCATGGAAAGGGGAGCCCTGCTTCTAGCCGTGGGAGCTGCCCACATGGCAGATATGAGATGAGCTAAGCTGTCTGCTGTGGGGACTGAAGATCCGGCCCATGGGGATCCCGTCTAGAGACCGTGGCTCCAGCTCCCACCCCTAGCACCTGCCCTGGTCCTTCACCTCCTGCTCCCCATGACATGCTCTGAAAGCAGGAATTCTGAAGGGGCAGTAGGATCCCTGGAGAGGGGCTACCCCTGTCTACAGTAACGGGAGGCCCAGCTGTAGACAGAACTCAAGCTAGAAGATGCAAGGGCCACCTGGCCTGACGTGTGACCAAGGCCCAGAGGCTGGTAGCTGGGGGTGAGGAGCAGACCTGGCCATCCCCTGACTCTCGGGCCCCACGTCTGCTTCTCAGTTGCCTGCCTGCATCCCGGCATGTCCATGCTGTGCCCGCCTCAGGCTCTCTGTCCCTGCTCTGGGTCACTGGTTCATCCCGCCTTACCACGGTCGCCAGGCTGGGAATGTGTTTGACCGAATTCTCGACCTCCTCTTCGGTCACCTCGACCAGCGTGCAGTTCTCGTCCTCCGATGGCAACGGCTCCGCCCCGTGCCTCGTGACCCAGGGGTGCAGCTTCAACGAATGACAGGAGGGGTGAGGGGCGGGCGCAGCTGGCTCCCAGAGACCCTGCCAGCGAGCAGAGCCAGGGAAGGAACGCGGGAGGGGAGAGGCAGTGGCCAGAGGTCAGGCATTCAGGAGATCTGGCAAGCCAGGCAGAGGAGGGGGCGAGCAAGACGGGAGGAAATGTGGAAAAGACAGGAGACAGAATGGGAGGGAGCTCCAAGGCCGGAATGTGAGCAGGACTGGATTCTCCATCTGGCCCCCCGGTCTCGGCAGAAGTGACTGGAATTTGCCATCTGCCTCGCACGGTTGCCAGAGGAGCACCCTCACTCCTCAGCAACTCTCCCTGATGCCTGGAAGGCTCTGCTCAGAGTAGGTAGCATTGTCCCCATTTCACCGAAAGGGAAACAGAGGCTCGGGGTGGTACAGGGAGACCAGTTAGAAGGGCACAATCCGAAGAGGGTCCAGGCAGAGGTCTGCCCTCAACTACCGGCCCCTGGGGTCCAAGCCCTTATCTGTGACCTTCTGGGCTGTCTCCTCTTCAAATGCTAGTTAGCTGAGGTGCCTAAGAGTTCCCAAAGCAAATCTCTAGATTCCTTCAAGGTCTATGTGTGTGCGTGTGGACTTGGTGGGGGTATAGGGGGTGGACAGGGGTCTCTCCTAACAGTGCTTCCTGCAACAGAGTGGAATTCAGCAGGCCGAACTCAGAAGTGGAGGTCAAATTACTCACTAACTTCCTCCTACACTGCACTTTCTCAAAGGGACAGGCAGGGGCAAGGAAAGGACCCAGGATTTCACAGCCATGGAATGGAGCACACAGAGGCCCTGGTCTGCTCCAGTCCAAGGAGGGTGGATGCCATCAGTCCAAGCCAGCTGGAGCGAGTGCTAGCTGTTCGGCTGACAGCAGACCCCGCTTCCACAATCACGGTGAGCACAAGTCCCAGATCCTCCCCCACCAGCCCCCGGCACCCCAGAGGCCCCAGGGCATGGGAGGGCGGTGGTGCCAAGGAGGGCGCAGCGCTGTAAACGGCCGGGCGTGGGGCCTGGCGGAGGCGGGGTTGAGCCAAACAATTCCAAGCAGAGCCCCGGGCGCACACCCCAAGGGGCAGCAGCAGCCCCCCAGGTACCTTTATCTCAGGCACCACGATCCTCGACTCTGGGTTCTTGTCCAACATGCGGGTGATCAGATCCTTCAAGTCCTCAGCTATGTCGGGCCTGGGAGTGGGAGACACATCAGGGGTGGGAGACGTCACCAAGGCCCCGGGGAAGAAACAGACTTGGGTTGATAGACGATACTCACTGATCTGGAAATTCCAGGGCCTGACTCTTGATCTTACTGTGTAAACACATGATCCGCTCATCCATGAACGGGCACTGCGAAGAGAGGTCAGGGACAGAGCAGCCATCAGTGGCGGGCACATCTGTCCTGCAAAAGCAGGTGTCACTCCACGTGGGTTACAGCAGAGAAATAAACAGCCCAGTGGCCCAGTCCAGGGAGGAAGCAGTTCCCATTCCCCAAAGATCTAAAAGGACCAGGAGTCTTTCCAGAAAGGCTAGAGCCTTCCCAACCACACTGTGGCTTTCTCCTGTAGCTCTGCTTTAATTTATCTACTTGTACAAAAGCAAACACTCTTCTTCACCCACCTGCCAGGTGACCAATGATAATACCAAGAAACAACACAAAAGATGCAGAAGCAGTGGTGATTTGTGTACTGAGGTTTCGCAGAACCAACATTTCAGTGGCTGTTACCTCTGCCTGGAATGTTCTTCCCACCAGCATCTGCAGAGCTTGTTTCCTCCCATCATTCAAGCATCTGATCAAAGGGAGGCCTTCCTGAGCTCTAAAACAGAGACCCCCTCCACCTCCATGTGATTTCCCATCATAGCACCTTTCCCTGATGTTATACTATATTTGTATTTGTTTACTGCTTAACTCCTGCACTGGAACGTCAGCTCCAGGAGGGCAGGGATTTTTGCCCGTCTTGCTCACTGCTGACACCCAGTGCCCAGAAACATCCCTGGGACAAAGCAGGGGCTCAATAAATGCCTGCTGAATTAATGAATGCTTGAATTATTTCTGTTGATCCTCTCAGAAGCCATGAAAATAGTAAATATTATTCTCATGTTACAGAGGGGAAAAATGGAAGCTCAGAGAGGTGATGTGTCCCAGGAATTGCAAAGCTGGGATTCAAGCCTAGACCAGGCTGAACCTGGAGCCTGTTCATGTACCACCTCCTGGGTGACAGGCCGATGCTCTTACTCAGTGGAAGGCCTGACCCAGGAGGAGTTCAGGTATAGTCCTGGACAAAAGAATCTGTATGTGGGGTGCCCCAGAGTTGGAAGAGGTCACAGAAGGAAAATGATTTCACTAAGAGCAGGAACTTAAGAGTTTGGATTGCACAGGTGCATCCTTTTGACAGAACTTATTAAATAGTATACTTAAGGTCTGTATATTCCATTATATGTAAATTTCACCCCAAAATTAAAAATGAAAACAAATAGTGAGCTCTAGCTAATGAATGCATTCTGAAGCATTTTTAAAGAGGTACAATTCTTTCAAATTTGCTTTATAATTGAAAATTTTCTAATCAAATGTTGGGTAGGGGGAGGAAATTATAAACTCCCTTACTTCCTCATGGGACCAGTTTCTTAAGTTTTCCTCAATAGAAGGACAAGCTCATGAACAAGAATATCCACACTTCTATTGCTCACATAATCTGAACTTTAGAGTTAAAAATAGAAATGCTTAAATACCAGTAATATAAAAACAACAAAAGAACAACAAAAAATAAGACAAAACAGCAATCCCTAAATTAATAATGATAAAAGGGTTTTAACTTCCATTCCAATTCTATTCCTCCAACAACAGCTTCTAGAAACATTGTTGAGAAGAACATCAAAGCAGTTATTTGGCTCAGGAGGAAAGAGTGCAGTTATTGATTAGTGATGTCTGTCTCGGGTTTAGGAATGGGTAGAGGTGGCACTTTTGCTGTCCTCGCCCTAAACTCATCAACTACTGTATTTACAATCTCTAGAGACTCTGCCAATCCTTCTGTCTTAACAGCTTATTTTTTCACAGATACGACTATCATATACAGATTTGTACATCTGGGGAGGCATTCTTTTTCATATTCAGATCTCACGGTGGAAATACAATGAAATAACTTTTAAGTGAATAAGTACTATCTCCCTGCAAGGGTAACTCTTAATCCAAAGGGGCTACCCACAACACCCCGGAGACAGGCCACCCCACCCTGTTACCTGGCCAAACACAAAGCAGTACAGCGTCACACCCATGGCCCAAACATCCAATGCCTGCAAGAAAAAGAGAGCTCCATGTGAGGGGACAAGGGGTGGTAAAGGGGGTCTTCTGCTTTCGCCTCTCCAGCATCCAATCCCCCAGCTTTCCTCTGGGGAACCATCTCTTCTTAACTTCTCATGGGAGTTTGGGTGGTGCTGTTCCTGTCTCCCAAGCCCCATGCCTCTGGATGGGCACAAGACCCAGGCCTGGCCAATGACAGCAACACTTCTTCCAGGCACAGTGATTGGTTCAAGGATGGGCACATGATCCACACTGGGCCAATCAGAGCCAATCCCAGGATTTTTGCTGGAGCTCTTCAGAAAGAAAAAAGCTCTTTCTACTGAGGCTGGTAAATAGGCAGAAAGCAGCCTGGAGCTGCAGGTGACACATTCACCTGGGGAGGACACCAAATCAGGAAAACAGAGCTGAGAGATGGAGAGACAGAGTCCTATTTGAATCTCTGAAGCCAAACTGACCTCACTCTTTACCCATATGATCCAGTGGATTCACTGTTTAAGCCAGTTAGAGCTGGATTTTTGTCACTTATGACTAAAAGGACCCTAGCACTGCAGAACTCTGCATCATGGGCAGGTCCAAACCTACCTTCCCAGAGAAGATCTTCCGGGTCTCCGAGAGCGACTCTGGCGCCATGAAGGCAGGCGTGCCCACGGTGTTAGAGAGGAGGGCATCGCTGCCCTTGAACTCGTTGCTCACACCAAAGTCTGCAATCTTGATGTGCCCATCTTCTCCGACCAGGAGGTTTGAAGGTTTGATGTCCCGGTGGATGATCTTCTGGTAGTGTACTGAGGGCAAGGTTGACACAGAATGGGAGAGAGGGGGCAGAAAAGCCATGTGAGGAGCCCCACGTGGCCCACACAGCCCAGAGACAAAGGCATGGACCCCTCTGTTCTCCCACGGCCCCAGGCCCTTCCCAAAACTGCTGAACAGCCACGGCTCTGAAAGATAAGGGGAGTGTCCCTAAAGTTCTCCTGTCCCCCAAATTGAGGAGCGAAACACCACCTGCTGACAGCAACTGGTAATCACCAGCAAAAGTCTAGTCATCAGTGACAGTGCTTGGAGAGTTTTTGTTGAGCTTGGCTCCCAGCTAGAAGCCTCAAGACTTGTGACAGTCAAATATTTTCATTTACTAATGTCATCACTCAACCTGTTCACCAAACCAGCAATGACTGGAGGAGGTCGATTTGAAGTGTGAAGCACAGCAGGACTGGGGACTTGGTTAACTGTTCCTGCCTGCACGTCAGCCCATGGGAGAGGACAATCTTATGGTCTGGAAGACGCAACTGCATTTCCATGATGGTGATGATGATGACAATGATGAAATGATACCAGTAACAGGAGCAGCAGCTGCCTCTGCTGAGTGCCCAGTCTGGGGCCTCGCCCTGTGTTAAGTGCTTCCCATTCACCCCATATCAATCTCACAACAACGCTATGTCATAGGCAAAGGGTATGAGTCAAAATGCTTAAAACCAGAAGCAGAAAGGACAGCTGCCAATAAGAACTACTGATGTACTGGTTGATTTCAAACCTGGTGAGAGATATTTTATTCCCATTTTACAGATGAAGAACTAAGGTTCCAGGAGGTTAACAGGATCCTAGGTTGTTGGGAATAAGGAACGATGCAAGTAGAGCCCCTAACAGTGCCTGGTACACACAGAAAGTGCTAGATAAATGGTCACTATCACCATTGTTCTTAATTTTGCTGTGTGGCTGGAAGGGTTTCTGCTAGCGAAGGCATGGCCCCGGGAGGGCTCTCTGCAGCCTTTCATGACTCTGCATCTCAGACAATTTTGTTTGCTGCCCACCTCCCTGTGCTCCAAGAGGGAAATAAGAAACCCTCCACTTTCCATCCACTACCTGGAAATGCTAACCACCCCCTGGGTGAGAGTCCTCCCGCAGCCCTCGCTTACAGTACTCAATGCCTTTGATCAGGTCCTGGAAGTAGAAACGAGCCTGGTCTTCAGAGAGCGGTTTGAGGGTGGGCACTTCCATCACAGGCCTGAAAGGTCAGTACAGGCATGAAAAGCAGAGGCACACCAGCCCTTGACCCCTCCCACCACCTCTCTCAGCTCTGCAGCTCGAGAAGCTTCGGGCATCATACCTGCCGGGAATGGGGACACTCACCCTTGGTTGACCAGTTCAAACACTGTAGGATAGAGAAGGGGGTGAATGGTTACATTGGGAAACTGGAAATCCATCTTCCTCCCCCTCCTCCCCAACTCCCAGCCACCCCTAGAAACACAGAGAAACACTGAGACTGATACTGGGGCTGGGGAGAGGAACAGTCCACCGAATCAAAGCCACTGACAGTTCTGCTTTTCTACGTTTTCATCGGGAGGCTAGGGGTCAGAGAGTTCTGGTGTCCCTGGGACACCAGAAAGCTGGGCACCTCTCAGCTGCCTCTCACACCTGGGAGGTTCCAGGGATATGACTGATGCCAAGCGATGTCCTCTCATTCACACCCAGGTCCTGAGCCACTTTATGCCAAAGAACAAGCCAAAGGGGACCCAGCCCAGACATCACTTAGGCACAGGGAAATAGCCCTATGCAACTTCTGAACCCTAGCAAAGTTTCAGTTCAAGAAAGAGCAGCAACAGGTTTCACTGACTCCTCTCACATTTCCCAAGCTTGCAGGCCCTGTCAGGCTACAAACCAAGAACAGTTGAATAATATTGTTTCAACTCCCCCAAGCCTCTCGGATCAGCTGGCCCTCCAATCCTTTCCTGCAAGGCTCAATCCAAACCAAGACTGAAAGTTGGAGGTGGGGGTGCAGATCTCAGCACCACAAAGGCCAACTTAACCTGTTCCTCCCAAACGGGACCCCTCTTGACTCACATTCACACTCAGCAAGCAAACGCCTCACCACATGCCAACTTCCGCCCAGCCCTGTGTATGCGGGGACCCTCCTCACCAAGTATTAGAGAAATCGTATTCAGGGAATGCACAATCTTTTTGTTGTTGGTGGGGAGCTGGTTTATGTTTTGCGTTTCCAAAGGCTGGGGTGACATTTTTAGAACATAAAACTATTTTAAAGTGCATAATTCAGTGGCATTCAGTATTCCATGTCCTCCAGCGCAACCACCGCCTTCATCTAGTTCCAGAACATTCTCAGCCTCCTGAAAAGAAACCCTGTGCCCACTCCCCACACTCCCTCCCCACAACCCCTCACAACCACTAATCTGCCTTCTATATCTATAGATTTGCCTATTCTGAACATTTTATATACATGGAATCATATAATATGTGATCTTTGAAGACTGGCTTTTTCATTTAGCATGTTTTCAAGGTCCACCCATGTTGTAGTGTGTATCAAAATCAGTTCTGTGTTCCTTTTTATGGCTGTATAATATTCCACAGTGTGGAGATGCCACATTTTGTTTATTCATTAAGCAACTGATGAACATTTGGGTCGTTTCCACATTTTGGCTATTGCAAGTAATGCGGCTATGAACATTCAGGTACAGGCAATCATGTACAAGCATTTGTGTGCATATCTGTTTGCAGTTCTCAGGGGTATATACCTAGGAGTGGAATTGCTGGGTCATGTGGTATAGTTACTTTAATTTTGTTCTGCTTAAACAAATATAACTGGAAATATAAAGTTGTACTTTAGGAAGTGAAAAAACAGCACAGTGGATTTCAAAATCCAGCGGAGGATGACTCTGGAGTTGTCTCTTGTTCTGGAATCATCTACCCACATTGGAGTTTCTTTTGGAAGAAACCAAAAGGTTGTTTCAAAGCTGTCCAAAGGGTGGCCAAGGGGAAAGAGCCAGCTCCTCAGACAAAAAAGAAGGCTTAAAGGTTCTGACTAGAAAAAGGACTTAACTCCCCGGCGCCCCACCCTGTGTTTAGGTTCATCAACCAGCGTTGGCCAGACCCGAGTTGGGGCACATCTGCCTGGCTTTGGGCTGTAGTTAGAAGCCAAAGCAATGGCGTTGAAGGTAAGGCTTCCACAGACAGACAGGTGCACTGGTCCTCTCAGCTCCCACCCTGCCCACCTTAGTTATGTAAATCGTAACTTTCAAAAGCTGCTTCACGAATTTCTGTGCATCATAACTCAGTTGGCATGGGGGAAGCTGGCCTGTTGAAAGAGGCCTGTTTTCTGTGACTAACAGTTTAACCCCTTCTGGGGCTGAGCAGTGGGCGGGAAAGCTTTCAACCTCAAAATACTGATCAGGTTCTCTCCCCTTCGAGGGTCAGGCCTGCAGCTGTTGGAACTCTCGCTGGTAGCTGCTATCCGGCCTCACTTGCTGCCCTGTCTGCCCTTGCCACTCCCGGCTGTGGCTAGAAACTAAAAAATAACTGTGTCAGCATTTTTTCACAACCACTGGGATCACATCCCAAAAGTCAGTATGGTTCCTTCCCACACTGTCACCTCAAGTAGTGAAAAACTCCGACTATGAAGCTGCCTGGTACAAATGGCTTAGGAAATCCTTTTTGAAGCTTGGGTCACGTTCTTTTCATACTCATTTGACTGCTCTGTGCAAAACCTTCCAACGGCCCCCTTCTCACTCAAAGTAAAAGGCAAAGTCTTACAACGGTATAAAATGTCCTCTGCCATCTGGTCCCCACTGTCCCACACAAATGTCACCTCGAGGAGTCACTCCGTTTCCCAGTCCCCCAACCCAGGACTCCTGGCTCCCCTGATCCTGCTCAGGTTAGTTTTTCCCACAGTGTTGTCACCTTTGAAGCCTCTGCCTGAGACTTGGCTCTGAGTGTGTCTGTCCATCCTCACCAGAGCAATAAAGAGCCCTGAGGGCAGGGAGGTTTGAGTTTTGTTCCCCGAAGAACCTAGAACAGGGCCTGACAAACCATAATGTCTGTTGAATGAACAACCCACCTTTTTGGAAACAGCCCAAAGCCATTCGGTCAGGTCTGGGGCCCCAAGTGAGCAAATCATGCTGGGAAATGCCATTGCGAGCCAAAACTTATCTTTTACATTTTGTGATTTCTTCTGTATTTCCCCAAACTTCACGTTTGCTTACAGGTTTGTAACTGGCCGTAGCTATACACCACGTAACCTATTATTTCATACTTTTCTTTAAATTGCCTTAGTTTTAAAACTTTTAGCCTTATCCCAGGTAATGATATCCAAGAAATCATGAGTTGAGTGTGCTGACTATAGTTCTTCCTATATAATGGTAAATTAAATCTAAAAAAATTTTATATGTTTGTCCAGGGTGGGTGGGTATTGCTCAGTGGCAAAGACATGCTTAGCATGCTCGAGGTCCTGGGTTCAATCCCCAGTACCTCCTTTAAAAATAAATAAATAAGGGCGGGGAGGGTATAGCTTAAGTGGTAGAGGGCGTGCCTAGCGTGCACGAAGTCTGGGGTTCGATCCCTAGTACCTCCTCTAAAAAGTAAACAAACGTAACAACCCACCCCCCACCAAAACTAAATAAATAAATGTTTGTTCATGTACCACCTAAAATCATTTCATATATTTAAAGTGGTGGTAGTACCACATTTTGAGAAACTGCAATTCTGTAATTTTCATATTTTTATAATCAATGTTTCATAATTTCTTTAAGTTAACATACTGGATGTTATTTACTGTGTAGCTTTTAAATTGCTTCTAAAGGAAGGTTTTTAAAGTTCTAAAATTTGAATAAGGACTGCACACTAGATGCTCTTAGGGAATTGGCACTACCTTTTTCAGGTGCATAATTACTGTTATGGTATTATGATCATGTAGGAGATACAGGCCGAAGTTTAGGGGCTGGAGGGTCAAGACGGTTCAGCAAAAAAATACAGAGAAATGGATGGGCAGGTAGCTAGACTGATAAAGCAAATGTGATGGAAAGTTACTAACTGTTGAATCTAGGTGGTAGACATACAAGTATTCCTTGTACAATTCTTTCAACTTTAAAACTTTTTTCATAATAAAAAGCTGGGTGGGGGATGAAAATAAAATGTCCTAAACAACAGCATCCTTGGAATTGAACCACAGCAACTACCATAGGGGAAACCGAGCTCTGAGCTGTAGTTTCAACTCAGACCCAGTACTATGTGATTAATCACTCCTTGTGCAGCAAAGGATCATCCTGTGCTCATCCAGGAGACATCTGGATTCCCGGCTGGGCTGGCCATGCCTACACCACTCATCTCCTTGATACCCCTCCTGGCTGACATCTGTCCCCACTCAAAATGCACCAACTCTGAATGTCCACCCAAGCCAGACATTACCAGGACATGTGACCTGTTGATCACGCCTTTCTGGGCCTGATGGTCTGCTATCCAGCTCTCAATTAATCCTATTCTCCCTTCCCTCATCAGCACTTATGCTGAGCGCTGACTGAGAGCTGCCCCACATCCTCTTCATTTTTAAAACATGAGGTCTCTGAGGACACACATGCAGCCTTCCATTTCTGTGTGCAATGCCCACACCCTTCGATGGCCCCCACAAGGCTCCAAATGCCCCACCATGGCCTCCCAGGCCCTCCCTCTTCATCCCCACCCACCTCTCCCTGGTTTACTCTGTTGCAGCCACATTTTTCTCAAACCATACTAAGCTCTCACCAGCCTTGGGGCCTTTGCACCTGCTGTTTCCCCTTCCTGCAACGCTCTTCCCCAGATTTAACAGGGCTGTGTTCCTGACATTCAGGTGCTAAATGGTCACCTCCAATCTGAAGTGATTTCTTTCACATCACCCTTTTTAATCTTCTTCAGAACATCTATCTGAAGTTGATTATCTGCTTTATTTATGGTCGTCCCTCAGTACCCACGGGGAACTGGCTCCAGGAATCCCATGGATACCAAAATCTGTGGATGCTCAAGTCCCTTACGTAAAATGGTATAGTATTTGCATATAACCTACACACATCTTGTACACTTTAAATCATCTCCAGATTACTCATTATATCTAATACAATGTAAACACTAAGTAAATAGTTGCCAGAGTATGACAAATTCAAGTTTTACTTTTTGGAACTTTCTGGATTTTTTAAAAAATATTTTTGATCCCAGTTGGTTGAATCTGTGGATGTGAAACCCTGGGACATGGAGGGCCGACTGTAGTTGCTGACTATGTGTCTTCCCCGACTAGAATGCTAGCTTCCCAAGAGCAGGGGCCTCATCTTTCTTACTCATCACTGCATCCTTAGTGCCTAGAATGATGCCCAACATACAGCAGGTACTCAATTACTATCTGCAAATGAAGGACTAGGACACCCAGAGAAAGTGCCAGCAAGAACTCCCTCCCACCTCCTGATTCGAATCAGGGGTGCAGCCTTCTGGGTGGCTCACTGGGGTCCAGATGGAGCAGGAAAGGGAAAGCTGTCTGTGGTGGGAGAAGCCAGGGGCAGGGGATGCCTGGAGAGGACCCCTGGGCTTTGGCAGGTACAGTATCCTGAGCGAGGGTGGCAGAAGCCAAGGGCTCTCTTACCCATGTACAGATGGTCCTCATTGGGGTCATCCAGGACCTGTTGGCACAGCCACATGGAACAGGCCGGAGACAAGGAGCAGGGGGAGGAAGAGAGAGAAAGAAGACATGAGCGGGGAGGAAGCACCATCCCCATGACTGCGTTTGCCAGCGGGAGGGCTGCGCTTTCCACCGGTTTTCCTAGTTAAGATGAAGGGCAGAGGAAAAAACCCAGAGCGTGCGATCCAAACGGCCATCTGGAAAGTAAGATCCTCACAGGTCCAAATCACCCAGAAAGGAGGTTACAAAAGGGAGGGGGCAGATTCCTCCCCTGGAAACTGTCTCAGCTTGAATAAGAATCCCACCTGTCTCCTTGGAGACCAGGGACTGGTCCTCAGGGTGGAAATTCAAATCCTGTCCACACTCCTCCTGCCCCAATAGGAAATGACGCCTCCCTGTCTGGAACTGCCCTGGCGCTCTCTCTTTCTGTCTCTCTCTCTCTCACACAGCCTTCCTGCTTTCATGTGATCACTATTTCTATCTTTCTCCCTCTCTCTGAAGGGCAGGCACCAGATTGTATCCACCTTGGTTGCTTCCGTGGTGCCTTGTAAGGACTAGGCACCTAGCAGGTGCTCAGGAAATATCTGATGAATGGACCGGCAAGCTGGCAAAGAGCCTTGTTCGGTGGGGAGCCCACATGCCAAGGGCACTGGGGAGAAGGGAGATCCCGCCAGGACCCGGACACACGTGCAAACCCAGTGCCCATGGGCTGCCTCTAAGATGGCTGACTCCAGCTTTTTGGAAATTCCTGTAATTTTTTTTTTAGTTAGTTGAAATTGTGAAACTCAGTGTGACAGGTGAAGATGGCTTCTAGCCATCATCTCTCTTCTTTTGGGGAGAAACAAAGGCAGGTTCCTTGCTAGCCTGGTCCTCCCACCTCTTTCCAAATCACACTCACATTCCCCAGCTACCCACGAGCCACAGAACAAGAGCCCTGAAAAAGAGATGGACCCAAAGCAGAGGCCCAGGACAGGCAAGCCAGCCTCCTAAGCCCTGCTCTTCGAGGAAAAGTCAGATCCAGGTACTTCCCTACCTAGAGTTCTGTACCCAGTGGGCCCCAGGCAAGGTGTGCCTAATGACTCTCACATGTATCAAAGGCAAGGATATGCTCCCTCCAGTAAAGGCCTCCAGCCCTCTGCATATGCCATTCCTTCCCCTGCGGTACCCTTCCCTGTCTTCTCCATCCAGGGGACCACCAAGGCCATCCCCTGCGAAGCCTTCAGGCTGAGCTGGCTGCTCCCACTCTTTACTCTCATAGCACCTTGAAGGTACAGCCAATAAAGTACTTTATCACACACTGTTTACAAGTCCTTGTCCTCTGGACCAGAGGTACTCCAGATGTGGTCTGGGGACGTCCGGGGGTCCCCAAGATGCTTTCAAGGAGTCCATGAGAGCGAAACTATTTTCATTCTAAAATTCTAAAATCAAAACTATATTTGCCTTCTTCACTCTCATTCTCTACCGGTATACAAGGACTTTCCAGAAACCACATGACACGTGATGTCACAACAGGATGAATACAGAAGCAGATACGAGAATCCAACTGTCTTCTGTGAAGCCAGACATTAACAACAACAGCACCATTTGCAAAAATGTAAAACTACATCACTCTTCTCACTACATTTGTTTCAGAAAATAGTTATTTCTCTTTAAAAAATTTTCACTTACGTTAATGTGTAGGATTATTGTTGTTTTTAAATGAATTAAAAAATAATTTTTAAATTTCTCAGTCTTAAATTTGAATGTGATAAACAGTAATAAATATAACCCCAACAAGCAAAAGTTTTTTGGAGTCTTCAATAATTTTGAAGAGCATAAAAGGGCCCTGAGGTCAAAAAGGGTGAGAACTGTTGCTCTAAAGCAGGGGTTGGCGAACTCCAGCATGCAGGCGCTCCATCTGTTTTGTAAGTAGAGTTAATTCAAACACAGCCAGGTCCATTGGTTTACCTGCGAGTGGCTGCTTTTGTGCTACAACTACACATGCATAGGAGAAAGAGAACCAGCTCCAAGAACACAGAAATGAGTGAAAGGCAAGTCTTGGTATCCTTCTGAGCCTCAATTCCTTCATCTCTACAATGGGAGTAATAAACAGTCCTAGGGAGGGGTGAGGATTACACGAAACAACAGGATGAAGGAGCCTGAGAAATTACCTCTCAGTTTAATGTGGCACGGCTCTCCCTGGAAACCAGTGGGGTGGCATTTCGGTAACAACAGGGACAGGGCTGGACTGTCACCATTCCTCCCTCCCTCCTCCATGTCCCGCCACCTCACCTCCACCAGCTTCACCACATTGGGGTGGTCCAGTTTCTTGAGGATGGCAATTTCCTGGTACACCTGCTCAATGGGGCCCCTGGGCTGGATGCAGCCCCCGGGGGCTGGCCGGGTGCCTCGGGGTGGGGGGCGACCTGGAGGAGACATGAACCATCCCAGGGTCAGAACAAAGAGACTTTCCTCTGCAGAGGGGGGCTGTAGGCAGGACAAACAAGGGGGAAGGGTCTCAGCGGGGCTGGAGTGGCCAATGACACCAGCAGCTTTAAACAGCTTTCTCTTCATCTGCCTTCTCTGCCGCTGAAAACTAGTGAGGCTGAAGACCCAGCCCCCTCGCCCAGCCTTCTGTTAACCCCCTCCTTCCTGTCCCATGCCCCAGGTCCCAGTGAGAATCAAGAGTTCATTGAAGTACAAGGAAAAGAAGTCTGGGTTCTAGCTTGGCAATCTCAACAATCTGCTCTGTGGGGCCCGGTTTTCCTACTCCATGAGGTGGGCAAAAACATTATTCCTCATCTCTTTAACTCATGGAAATAGCAGAGATATACAATGAAGTCAGGGATGGGAAAAGAAGTAAGAGCCGATGAGAGGAAAAAAAAAACCACACCAAGGACTGGCTTGGCCCTGCAGTGACTGATAGTCAAAAGGTCACAGTGATGGAAAGGACGATAGTCAAAACACCTATATTACGTACTATACGTAAGTAAGGGTCTACGTGTGATGAACAGAACCGAGCGTAGATGTGTCAGCCTTGGAAAAGTAAAAGCAGAGGTGCACACGTCAGAAGTGGGATGTGAACAGAGGGACAAGTTCAAAGGAAAGACATGTGTTACGTTTGCTGGAAAAAGGAAGAAAGTGACCAGGACAGTAACAACAAAGTTGCTGAACATCATGGTAGCATCTCATTGCCTCACCAGGAGATGGGAGGTAAGGAGTGGTTTAAGTTGTTCTCAGAGGAAGTCAGAAGTAAATGTGAAAAATTAATAAATCAAGAAGTAAGGGGGGAGGCTACAGTTCAGATGGTAGAGTGCATGCATAGTGTGCAGAAGGTCCTGGGTTCAATCCCTGGTATCACCTCTAAAAATACATAAATAAGTAAATCTAATCCCCTCTGCCCTCCAAAAGAAAGAGCAGCACAAGGATGTTATCTGACTCAGAGGTCAGATAAGCAGGGTAAACCAGAGTGCCAGTGATGGAATGGGGTTTCTATTTCTTATCTGCTTTCTCTTTTTGGCTCAAGCTGACATTTCGCTCAGCACTGCTGGCAGGGAGCTTACGTTGGAGCAGTCTTTAACATGCTCACCTACACCTGGTCACAAGCAGTAATTACCAGCTCCTCAAAGAGCTAAAAGTAGGGGCTGACTGTAGGGAGAGGGAGGAGTGCAGAAAGAACCTGTTGGGCTCCATTATACGCCCTTCTGTTCTCTTGAATTTCTGTAGATGTAATTGAAATGCCTTATGGTGTTTAAGTTTTTTTAACTCATCATTTAAAAATGTATAATCCAATTTTTTTTTACATGTGGCTAGCCGTTATGCAACCATCTCCACTAAATGCAGAACATTTTCAAGCCCCTCCCCCCAAAAAATGCCATACCTAATAGCAGTTACCCCCCAAGCTCCCTCTTACCCTCAGCCCTGGGCAATCACTAATCTGCTTTCTGTCTCTATGGATTCATCTGCTCTGGACATTTCATATAAGTGGAATCATACAATATGTGGTTGTGGTCTTTTGTGTCTGGATTCTTTCATTTGGCATAATGTCTTCAAGATCATCTGTGTGGTAGCACGTGTCAGAATTTCATTTCTTTTTTTTGCTGAATAATATTCCACTGGCTAAACAGACTATCTTTTATTTATTCATTCATCCATTAACAGGCATTTGGGGTTGTTTCTACATTTTGGATATTATGAAGTGCTGCTATGAGCCTTCCTGTACAAGCTTGCGTGAAGATGGGTTTTCAATTCTCTCAGGAATAGATTGCTGGCCATGGTAACAGCACGTCTAACTTTTTCAGGAATTGTCAAACTGTTTTCCTCTAATGGATTTTTGGGCTTGATACCTATTATTACTTTAATAAATATTTTTAGAAGAAAATGAATTTAAAAACCTCAGCAGGAGGCCCAGCGCTATCTCTGGGGACTCCACCCAGGGCACTCTCTGCAAGGGACACCATTCAGTGGGATCTTCTCTGTCTTGCCCCAGCACCCGCATCTAAGAACAAAGGCCGTGGCCCAACAAACTCACGTGGAAAGCCCGCCTGTCGGATCAGCTTCTTTTTGGACAACACCTTCATTGCCTGTGGGAGAAAAGCCCCCAAGTCCTGGTTAAAATGGAGAGGAGGGTGGAGGGAGAGAGCTCCTTCCACTCCTAGGCCTGCCCAGTCTCTCAACACCCCAGCAGCCTAAGAACAATGTCATGAGCATCTTGTCATTAGAATGGGTCAGGCAGCTATGGGTTACGTGGAGGCCAGACTCCCGGGGTCCCTCCGGCCCTGAGGGTACTTCCAAGGTTTCAGGTCAGCTCTCCCAGCTGAGAGACCACAAGCCTTGGGATTCACTACCACTGAATCAAGACATGAGTGAGCTGGAGTGATGAGTGAGGGAGATTTAACACGTGGGGAAACAGGTTCAGCAGTTACACCACTTGCCCAAGGACATGCAACTGGCACATGGGAGAGCCAAGACTTGAACCCACCTTGGACTGATTCAAAAGCCTCAGCTACAAGGGTAATTTGTTTCACTACCACCTGGTTCTCGGTGCTGTGGAGGATGTAGAAATGGCAGCCCAGAGTAAGGATATGAGAGGTTTGCTGAATTTATTGACTCAATCCTCCTGAGCCAATCCCTTCACCTCCCCACTTCCCCACTTCCTTGCTAATGCACAAAATAAACATGACATAAGAATAAAGTGAGACAACAGCTAAGAAAACCTTCCCGGAAGCCAAGGGCTGGAAAGAAGGCATTTTTTTTTGGACAAGGATTGGGACGGGAAGGGGGATCTGGATACTCACATAGTAGGTATTGTCATTTTCATTGTAGGCCAACTTGACCACGCCATAGGAGCCCTGGATAAAGGGAGATGCCCGTGACACACTATCCAGAAGTTATGATCTGCAAAACGAGGATCCTAATACAGAGGGTGCTAACTGGCAGCCTGTTGGCAAAATCTACCCTGTATTTTGTTGCATCTGCAGTTTTTAGAAAGTCTGAATTAGTGGCCAACATTTAAAGACAGAAAGTTCGGATATAAAAATCCAGATTCTCAGCCTCTTTTGAAAAAACTAGAAGATCTGGCCATATGGCGTTGAAATCATTTCCATATGTTAAGTTTGCCACAGTCCTCACTACTCTCTACTCTCATACCTAGCCTGCTTCATTCCTGGAACCCTCATTTCCACATGTTAACAGTTGGCCACAGTTCTCACCACTCCCTACTGTCTTATACCTAGCACAATTTGCTCATTTATATTATTCGCTTGCTCTCTGCTGGCATTTGAGTTTTTGACTCCTGCAATGATACTGTCCATTGGCTGATATAAAAGCAAAAATAGATGTGAGAGTAACTTTAAAGGGAAAAAACCAACATTAACGTTGGTGATAGGGGATTTCCCTGGAAGCTTTGTGAGCTTTTGCAGAAACACCGTATGACACAAAAACAAAACAGATGGACCATTAATGACAAACAATGCCCACCCCCCTGCCTCACCTCCAAGGACTCCTCTCCCACTCCCAGCTCTCGCAGGGTTCCCTCCACTGTACCTGTGACATCCTTGGTAGGTATGGAAAACCACCCTGGCTCCTGGGATACTTACCTTTCCAATTTCATCCTTCAGAGTGTACTGATTCAGCTGTACACAGTCCTGGAAAGTAAGTAGAAATACACAGAATATGAATTTTAAGTTTGCAGCTAGATACATTTTTCACAAACTAAACAGGACCCGAATCAAGAAAGAGAACACTCTCAGCTCCCCAGATGCATCTCCCCGTCACTGGCCCCTCTCCAGGGCGACTGTTATACTAAGGTTTACCAGCAGTTTGTGCATATTGTAAAAACATAATCATACAGTATATACTCTTTTCATATCCATTTTTAAAGGTTGTTTCCACTTTTTAAAAGTTAATTTTAAATTGAACAATAAGCCATTACTATGTTATCCTACAAAAAATGTAGAATGATACAAGAGGAGAAAATGTGAGTGACCTTAGGGCAGACAAAGCTTTCTTAATAGTTTCTCAAACATCCTTTTTTGTACAAACAGTACAAAATATAGAAAGAAACAAATGACAAATGGATTTCAATCAAAATTAAAACTTTGACTCCTTGAAACACTATTAAGAAAACAGAAGGTAAGCCACAGACTGAGAGAAACCATTTGCAACACTTAAATTGGACAAAGGACTGGCATCCAGATTATAAAAAGAATCCTACAGCTTATTAATAAAAAGACAATCCCATTAAAAAATGGGCAAAAGAATTAAAAAGATATTTCTCCAAAAAAGATACACAAACGATCACTAAGCGCATGAAAAATGCTCAACATCGTTACTCACGAGGGAAATGCAAATTAACACCACACCCATCAGACTGACTGGAATCAAACAGACTGAGCAAACCAAGTGTGGTCAGAACATAGGGTGAATGAAACCTTCACACATCGCTGGTGGGAATTTAAAGTGGGGCAGCCTCTTTGGAAAACAGTTTGGCAGTTTCTTAGCAAGTCCCTCCTCTATGACGCAGCCATTCTATACCCAGGAGTTTACTCAAGAGGATGAAAACTTGGAAGGACCTGTATGAGAATGTTCATAACAGCTTCATTCATAATAGCGAGAAACGGGAAACAATACAAATGTCCATCAACAGGTAAATGAATAAACAAACCATGGTATATCAGTAGAGTGGAACACTATTTAGCAATAAAAAGGAATGAACTGCTGCCACAACGTGGATAAATCTCAAAATCATGCTGCTGAGAAAGAAGCTAAACTAAAAAAGAGTATATACTGAATGGTTTCACTCATAAAATTCTAGAACTTGCAAGCTCATCTAGAACAGTAAAAAGCAGGTCAGCCGCAGCCTGGGAAAGGCGAGGTGGGGGAGGGGTGCATCGTTGGGGGTGTCGGAAATGTCTGCCATCTTGATTGGGGTGACGGTATTGCAGATGTATACATACACCAAAACTGATCGTGCTGCACACCTGAAATATGTGGCTTATTTTACTTCAATTATAGCTCAATACAGTTAGGGGGGAAATGTTAACTGACATAAGAAGTAAAACTGGGAAAAGAAACATGACAGAAAGCAAAGCTTCAAGCATTACAGAGAAGCCCAACATTTCCCTCGAACCCCCCCATCCCAATTCTATCCCTCTCCCTGAACCTTGACGTCAGTTTGGTGTATAAATTTCCAGGCCTTTTTTCTATGTAAATGCACACATACATGCACCTGCAGAAAATACAGAGTACTGTTTTGGGATAGGGTTGGGGGAGGCATAAATGGTGTCTCACTAAATCATTTATTTCTCAACTTTCCTTCGCCAGACATAGTTCCACGTCAGACCTGCGTCTCTGACCTGCTGTATATCACTCCCCAGCCCCCAGAGCTTGCCCCTCACTGGTGGACTTTTTAGTTTGTTTTGTGTTTCTCTCCGGTATTGTTTTCATTCCCCTGAGTCCTGGAGAGATGTGACAGGCAGAGGTAGGACCCTGCAGAGCTATCCCAAGGGGCCTCACTGTCTCCTAATCCAACCCCCGCACACTGCTGGACTCAGCTTCCAAGAGTCCACTCTGACCATGTCAGCCCCAGCTCCCAGCTGCTTCCAGGGTCAAGTCCTGACTTCATGGCCTGGCCTTCAAACCCTCTAAAGCTCTGAGCTTGGCAGAGTCACCTAGTTGCCCACCAAATACCAATGTCTCCTTTCTTCCTTATAGCAGGAACTCTGGGTGGCAACATTCCAGGATGGAAAACTTCATTTCCCAGCCTCTCTTACAGCTAGGGTGGCTATGTGACTGTATTCTGGCTAGTGGGAGGGAGGCAGAAGTTGTTGGGTAGAGCTTCCAGGAAAGAGGACTGACTTAGGAGGCAGAAATCTTTTGTCCTTCCCTGCTCCTTCTTCTTGCCTGGAAGGATGATGGAGCTGTGAATGCTAGAGCCACAGCAGCCATCTTGAGATCATGAGGGTTTAAGGTCAAAAGTAACAACAGAATCACCACACCGATCCCAAAACCCTAGTTCTAGATATGTTTTACATGATAAATAAACTCTATTGTGTTAAAGCCACTGTTGTTGGGGGATCTCAGATTCTCTAAGCTGACTCAATTCTAACTGATATAAACCCAAACTTTCCCTCCAGCCCTGTTGCCACAGTGCCCCCCTTTTTGGGCCCCACACTCCAATTAACTGAATCCCTGACCTATCTCAAATCCTATGGAAAGGGACATGTTGGTCTAAATAGCTGATACTTAACTGGATTATGGTAATCAAAATTTTAAAACTAAAATATTACAGGAATGAGACTACCTCTGTCACCTAGGTGGCCTATGGCTAGTTAATAAACTAGGAAATGAAACAACAACAATAAAAATGGGCTCCTGACTTCTACCTTGGGGCCTCCACCAATCATGCCCTGCAGTGAACTCATCTCCAATTGCAAAAATTCTACCTAGCCCTCAAAATGCAGATAAATACCAGCCCCTTTAGAAAGCCACTCCTGATTTCCAGGCTCTTCCCAATTAAATTCCTTCCTTCTTTCAACAAATATTTTTGATCTGCTCTGCCCCAGGCACCATGCTGGGTGCTGGGGACACTGGCAGACACCCAGTTCCTATACAGCTAACATTCTCACTGAGGGGAGACAGGCAAAAAACAACACACACACAGAGATAATCAAATGGTGACAAGGACTGTTAAGAGGAGTCAACAGGACAACAGGACAGAGGGGGTGGAAGGGTTTCCAAGCAGAGGGAACAGCAAGGGTAAAGGCTTAATGGAGGGAATGAGCTTGGACATTTGAGAAATACAAAGGAGGAGGTATGCTCGGACCTCTGTGAGTCGGCAGCACAAAGGTAGGAGATGGGGTGGGAGGCGGGGCAGGGGCCTGTGAACCCTGCTGGGGATCTAGTTCCAACTACCCCCCAGAAGTTCATGGTAAGGATCAGGTGAGACATGCACAGACAGCGCAGTGCCTGGAAAGGCAAACACTCAGCAGTTGGGCTCTGCTGTTAGGCGCTGACCCACCATCTCCATTTCAGAGCCCCCAGCATAACTTCCAAGCGTCAGCACCCGCAGCTCTTTGCTAGAGGCTCCCTCTGGTCCCGAGATGCTCTGTCCACACTCAGGGAGGGTCACTCCCCGCCAGCAGCCCTCACCAGGGAGTACCAGCAGTCGGTGCAGAAGGTCCAGCTCCCAGGCCCTGGGGTGTAATAACTCAGGCTCCTGGCCTACGCTCCCTCCCAGGGTTCCTCGTGGTAGTAACCGGCTCCACCAGGCACCGTTTGTTGACTTCTTACTGGGTTTCCTGGGGTCACCTCCCAAATCAAGTGGTTGCACTAGAATCCTTCTCGGGAGCCCAACCCAATGCAGAGATGCTGCGCGCACAGGCAGGGCACCAAGGACTGCCGCGGACGCACCTGCATCCCGGTGATGGAGACGTGGTGCGACTCCACCGTGGGCCGCCGGGGCAGCCGCGGCGAGGACTGCGGGGAGCCCACGGGCGAGTGGGGCAGGCCCGGGTAGACGCAGCGCCCATTCGCATCCAGCTGGGACCGCTCCTGTAGAGAGAGCTTGCGACTGGAGAGGTGAGGCCGGGGCTGGGACCCGGAGACGTCGAGGGGGACCTCTCCGCCGTCGGCCTCCAGAGGCGGGTCCCGGGCCAGGCCGCGGTCCACAGCGCAGGTCGGCTCACACTCCGTGACCACGATGAAGGACTCCATGCCCAGGCGGATGCTCAGGGAAGAGAGGCCCCGCAGGGCCTCACACGGCTTCTGGCCTTCGCTGCTGCTGCTGCTGCCGCCTCCGCCCCCCAGCTCATCCTGGGGGGCGGCCCGGTCGTTGCTGAGCTGGCTAGAGACGCATGATGACATCGTGCATGTGCCGAGCTCCTGCGACACGGACACGCGGGGGCACTCCCATCCGGCAGCGGCACCACCTGCGGGGAGAGGAAGGGTCAGCTGCCCCCACCCTGTGGGGCGGGGCCAGGGAAGGGGTCCTTCTGCTGGCCCAGGCCCGCGCCTCACTCCTGCTTTGGGTGGACATCCTAAAGAACTCTTGCAAAACTACGACGTGAGCCGATCTCTTTGGGTCTATATAGAAGAGCTTAATCCACATTTCCTCATTGTAAAAGCCCCTTATCACACACAAGAATCCCAAACTTAATTCCTGTAGAAACCAAATATCAGAAAACTTCAAACCAAACACCTACCCGCCACAGAGGTGGCAGCTACTTTCAGACCAAGTCAATAATTGATAAGTAAAGATCTGGGCCAAATATTGTCTGGTCCCCTCCACCCCCCCCCGCCCCCCCACCCCCAGGAAGTTAAGTGAGATCTCTTGATTTTAAAATTATCAACTGTATCAAATATTTTTAAATGCCAGTCAGGCCAAATGAAACACTTCTGTATGGTGACTTCTGGGCTGCATCATTTATAACAGCAATGATGCAGAAAGCAATTTACAGTTCACAAAATATCTTCCACATGTCAGGAAAATTTCACAAGCACCATAGGTGGCTGGTTGGCCATTATGCCCCCATTTTGTAAGTGGGGAAACTGAGGCTCAAGAGAGGGGGAGGGATTTGTCCAAGTCTCCTACTGCAAAGGCCACCCTCACAGGAGTCCAGTCCCCTGGCCTGGCCTCGGGCCAATGATTCTCAACTGAGGAGTGGGGTTCAGGAATCACATCAGAGAGTGTGTGAGCCAGAGCAGTCTGTGTTGTCTGAGGAGCCAGGCTGGATATATCCGTTACCTAATGCTACCCTAGTTCAGCCCCCAGCTGCTGCCTGCTAGACATAAGGCAAACATGAGGTTAAAAAGTGAACATCAGATAGCTTGGTGGTTCCTCAAAAAAATTAAACAGAATCACCATATAATCAAGCAACGCCATTCCTAGGAACATGCCCAAACAGCACTATTCATGACAGCCAAAAGGGGAGACTACCTACGTGTCCATTAACAGATGAATGAAAAAGCAAAATGTGGTCTGTCCCCGCAATGGACTGTGACTCAGCCATAGAAAGGAACGAAGAACCAAACACACGACAAACCTCAAAAACATGATGCTAAGTGAAAGAAGACAGACACAAAAGGTCACATATGTATGATTCTATTTATACAAATTTTTCAGGCAAATCCATCAGACAGAAAGTAGATTAGTGGTTGCCTAGGACTAGGGAGGTGGAAACAGGGAGTGGCTGCCAACGAGTGTGGGGGCCTCATTTTGGGGTGGTGGAAATGTTCTGGAACTAGATAAAAGCGGTGGTTGCACAACACTGGGAATGTAGTAAATGCCACTGAATTGTGCACTTTAAAATGGTTAACTTTATGTGCTGTGAATTTGGGGGAAAAAAAAAGATTGACACACTCCCTTAGACTGTCAATTCTTCTTTCCCTGGGACAGAATATTAACCTTTGGTTCGTGTGTTTGACAAATTCTACTGGACAAATGTCACAGGCACCACTGGAATTCAGGGAGTACATCCACAGATGCAGACGATGGCAGCTCCGTGCTCATCACCCACGTTACCAAGGTGCCAGGAAAACAGTGAGTGCTGAGCAGAGAGCTTTTATGAATGAATAAAATGATATCTGTTTATGACACTGGGTGGCAGTGGGAGGATACAAAGGAAAGTACAGATGGGACCAGAAAGCCAGTGCTTCCTGGAGGACCTGGTTGAGGGACAGAGAAATGCTACCTCTTGGGACAGTCCTGCAAGATGTATTTATGGAACTGCTTCTACGCAGGCAATCTGGACAGTGACGTGGGCAGGTGGGGAGCAGGGAAAGGCCAATGGGAAAGGCATTAAGGAAATAACAACAGTGTCCCAACACAGACATGGCACAACGCATGAACGCAGAGCTCATTATAAAGGAATGACAAAGTCTCTCAGTCATGTGACAAGATGCTCAGCATCAGCTACGGTAAGAGAGGTACAAATTCAAACTACAATGACATGGTTGGTGGGTCCTCAACAAGTTACCTGCAGAATTACCATTTTACCCAGCAGTTCCCCTTCTATGCATATACCCAGAAGAATGGAAAGCAGGGACTCAAACACACACTTTCTTATACACCCATGTTCACAGCAGCATTATTCACAATAGGCAAAAGATGGAAACAACCCAAGTGTCCATCAGTGGAAGGATGGATAAACAGAATGGGGTCTATCCACATAGCAGAACACTGTTCAACCACAGAAAGGAATAAAGTTCTGACACAAACTACAACATGAATGAGCCTTCAAAACATGCTAAGTGAAACAAGCCAGATATTAAAGGACAAATATTATATGGCCTCACTTATACCAGGTACCTAGAATAGACAAATTCAGAGACAGAAAGTTTAGAATAGAGGTTACTGGGGACTAGGGGAGAGGGGAATGGGGCATCATTGCTTAAGGGTACAGAGTTCCTGTTTGGGGTGATGAAAAAGTTCTGGAAATGGACGGTGGTGGTGGTTACACAACATTCTGAGTGTAATTAATGCCACTGAATTGCACACCTAAAAATCGTTTAAATGGTGAATTTTATGTTATATATTGTTTACCAAAATTAAGAAAATAATAATAAAGCTACAATGAAATACCTTTTTTCCAACTATCAGATTGGCAAAGAGAAAAAATATAATACTAGCATTTTTTTTAATAAGTTGGATTTAACAGCATTATTTTGATGAGGCTACGGGGAGTAATTAGTACCATCCTTATGAAGGGAAATTCACCAATATCTAACCAAATTCCAAAGGCATATACCTTTGAGTTAGCTATTCCGCACATGAGTATTCATCCTACAGACAATCTCAGCCATAAAAAATGATATATGTACAAGATTATTTTGGTAGTAAGTATGGTTTGAAATGACTATCCATGGGGGACTGAGTAAATACAATGAGGTACATGTAGCCCAGGAGAAAATCATGCATTTATTTCAAAAGAGGTGACTCTGTACCTCCTAATATGAATTAGCTCCAAGGCACACCGTTACTTGGAAAAAACCAAAGCATTAGTGTGCTGCTGTCGGCCAAGGGGGAAAGGGCCACACATGCGGACATAATCGAATATGCAGAGCATATTTCTGGAAAGATACACAAGAAGATGGTAATAGTGGCCTCAAGAGAAAACAACGGGTTTGCAGAAGTAGGGGGGACAGGGTGGCAGGGATTTAATTTTCACTGTATTTACTTTTACTCTTGAAAAAGAAAGTGTGCAAATAGTAACTATTCAGAAACGAGTTTTTAAAAGAAAGTAACTGTACCTACAACAGGAGTTAGGAAAAGGCCTGAGAGCTATCTAGGGCATGAGGAGGCAGGGGAGCAGGTGGTCCTCCCTCCTAATCCTCTACCCCATCCTTGCTGCATCTGAGAAAGAAATCATTAAATGTGTCCCAGTCTTGGCTTCCCCATCAGTGAAAGAATACAACCTAACTTCAATGTTCCCTGTGGTCCCAGCTGCTATTACTTTACATATACTTTTTATGATCCTTATTTCCCAGAAGCAGAGAAGCAGGGCCCCTGAAGTTCAGCTACAGACCAGTGAGTTAGCTGCTCTCAGCCTCAGTTTTCTCATCTATAAAATGGGTACATGCCTGAGAGTCATGAGGCTTAAATGAGCTAAGAACTCAACATTCATGTCTGGTGCATGGTTAAGTGCTCAAAAAGTTCTTCTCTCAACAAATACCTATAGAATGTCTACTACCTGCCAGGCTGTGTTCCAGAATGTTCCTCTTCCTGTGAGTGTTCTGCAGCCCTGGTGGCGTGGGCCTGCCTCCCCCAGGGCAGGGAGCAGTTTCACTGGCCTCCCTCCCAGAGCCACCTCTGACAGGCCTGCAGAGTTCCTGAAAAGAAAACTAGTCTGGCAGCACCAGAGAAAGTTAATGGAGAATTTTTTTTCTTGCCAACAGAAAAACAATTGCTTATCGATCTCCACTCTAGGCCAAGGACACCAAGCCATTCGCCCCCAGCAAAGCTGCTTTAATCAGTCTCCTTGACAAGCTGGCGTCTGGCCCGAGCCTTGAGGCCTGGAGGAGAGGAGAGGAAAAAAATGTGCCAGCTGGGAGGAGGTGGGGGCCTCTGAGCTGGAGGGTTGGTTGTGTACAGGTCTCAGAAAAGAGCCCCATGGGACCCAGTCCTCAGTGCCTCGAGGTCACCTGGAGACCACTCACTGGCCTGCAGCAAGGCCTGGCAGACAAGGGCTTGGCCATTCAGCCTGACAAAGCATCTTCCACCACTCACCCACAGAGTCCAAGCCAGTGTTCTAACCGGTTTTGAGGCCACAGATCCCATGAGGTCATGGGCCTTTTAAGGATCTGATGAGAGCTATCAACACTCCCGGAAGAAAACAAAATCATACAAAAGACAACGGTTTGTATTACAACAGCTAACACTGACTGAGTACTTACTCACCAAGCATGGCTAACCGCTCTGCCCGGGTCATCATTTAATCCTCACAGGGCCTCTGAGAGGGAGGGACAGCTCAGCATTCGATTTGGGGGTACCTGCGTTTGACAAAATGCCAAGAGCCCTCTCCCCGAACTTCCTGTCCCAATCCTGGGTCCTTCTCCACCCCCTAAAGGCCTCCCCACCCGCTTGGCTGGCAGCCCCGAGCTCCACTCCCCTCCTCTTCCCTCTCACAGGCAGCACAACAGAGGACCAGACCCTTCCTGGAGCAGATGGACTAGGCTCCAGGCCAGGATAAAGGGAAGGTTCCTTCCTCTGCCAGGAAGCCAAGAGCACAGGCCTCTAGGAAACACTTTCCCATTTCCTGGGGACTATTTCCAACCTGCGCCTGCTTACCAAATACAGAGCCACCACAGAAGCCACAGTGTAACAAGTAGCCAGCGGGTGGGCCAGGGACACATCCTGACCCATGACACATCCTTTGTGGGGTCCCATGAGGTCCGGGACACCACAGACAACAAAAGGGCCCAAAATAGCTGT